ACCTCTTCGAAATCCGCAAGAAGGGCGTGCGCGTGGGCGACCAGGTCATCGTGCGCCGTGCGGGCGACGTGATCCCTGAAATCGTGGGAGTCATGCCTCCACTCAGCGACTCTCCGGAAGTCATCTCGATTGATGGAGTACTCGTCAGACACCGCCACGGGCGTCCGCCGCGGGAAATGTACGTCCCAAACTTTCATATGCCTAGGGAGTGTCCGGTGTGCGGCAGCGACGTGGTGCGCGAAAAGGGCGAAGCCAACCACCGCTGCACGGGTGGCCTGTTCTGCGCCGCGCAGCGCAAGGAGGCCATCCTGCACTTTGCCGCGCGCCGCGCCATGGACATCGAAGGCTTGGGTGACAAGCTGGTGGACCAACTGGTGGATGGCAACGTGATCCGCACCTTGCCCGACCTCTACCGGCTGGGCGTCACTTCGCTGATCGCACTGGACCGCATGGCGGAAAAATCCGCGCAGAATGTGCTGGCGGCGCTGGAAAAGTCCAAACAGACGACCTTGCCGCGTTTTCTGTTTGCGTTGGGCATTCGCCATGTCGGCGAATCCACGGCGAAAGACTTGGCCAAACACTTCGGCACGCTGGACGCGCTGATGGGCGAAACGCAGGAAACCGCCGCCACGGTGGAACAACTGCTGGAGGTGCCCGACGTGGGCCCCATCGTTGCACAGAGCGTGCACACCTTCTTCCAGCAACCCCACAACCGCGAGGTGGTGGAGCAACTGCGCGTCTGTGGCGTGATCTGGCCTGAAGGCCCGGTGGCCGAACGGGCCCCGCAGGTGCTGGCGGGCAAGACCGTCGTTTTGACGGGCACCTTGCCCACGCTGAGCCGCGACGCGGCCAAGGACATGCTGGAAGCTGCTGGCGCCAAAGTGGCCGGCTCCGTCAGCAAAAAGACCAGCTACGTCGTGGCCGGCGAAGATGCCGGCAGCAAGCTGGCCAAGGCCCAGGAACTGGGCGTGACCGTCCTGGACGAAGCAGGCATGCTGGCTTTGCTTTCGGGCCCAGCCGCCTGAAAGGCTCTTTCTATTTCCGGGTTTTCGATGCGCACATTGCTGCTTTCCCTCAAGGCCCGCGCTGCGGCCTTGTTCCAATGGCTGGCGGGCCTGTTCGCCTGGATGCCACGCCCGCTGCGGCTGGCGCTGGGCTGGGGCGTCGTCGCGGTGCCTGCCGCCTTGCTGGTCTATGCGCTGGCCCTGGTGCCGTTCACGCCCGGCATCAGCGATATCCGCAAGGCCAAGAGCGAACTGCCTGCGCAGTTGATGTCGGCCGACGGCAAGCTGCTGGCCGAATACCGCTGGGCCAATCGCGAATGGGTGCCGCTCGACAAGATATCGCCCCACGTCATCGATGCGCTGATCGCCACCGAAGACCACCGCTTTTACGACCATTTCGGGCTTGACTGGCGGCGCACGGCATCGTCGGTGGTGCACACGCTGCGCGGTGACCCGCAGGGCGGCTCCACCCTCACGCAGCAGTTGGCGCGCAACCTGTTCCCCGAGGAGATCGGGCGCTCGCGCGTGTTCCCGCAGGCCCTCACGCGCAAGCTCAAGGAGGCGATCACGGCGGTCAAGATCGAGGTCTCGTACACCAAGGACGAGATCCTGGAGACCTACCTCAACACCGTGCCGTTCCTCTACAACGCCTACGGCATCGAGATGGCCGCACGCAC